TTCGGTCTCAGGGTTCTGCTAGCAAAAGGCTCCCCTGCTGGAAAAACCTCATTAAAAACTCGAGTTCTCATGAGACTTCACGACTTTCTCGTGAGATCTGCTGAATTACTCATGAGAACCTCATGAGGATCTCATGAGGTTTATTCAGAGGTGTCAGAGCTCTGCTAGCCTTGTGAAGTCGGGGTTTTTGAGAAGGGCATTTAGCAAAGATTGCTTCGATGCTTCGAAAGCCTCTTCGGTTTGTGCCGTCCGTATGAGGGGCTGCTTCTTCTTAAACAACTGATGAAGGCTGCGGGCCTTTATAGCATTGTCATATTTTAGCATATGTTTTTACCATGTCTTCCGAAGAACGATGTCATCCCCAGAAATTCATGAGGTAGAGTAGATAACTCATCCGAAGGCCGATGAAAACCTACGATAGCATTAACCTTCTCGGGGTTTTGAGCTGCTCTTTCCAAAGAGACGATACGACCTAGAAACTGGGATGGTTGCTGAGCGAAGGCGCACATACCCGGATGCAATCTCAGGTTGACTGCTCGAAGGCGATGAAAGACGGCTGGTAGGTGGCTCGGATGTTCCTCGAACGTACGAGGATATCATCCAAATGGGCTATGACTTAGGGGAGTCCTCGCCAAACGAGTTCCATCGCCTTCATTAAGTGACTCTTCATCCCAAATGGCACGACGAGGAAGTCGTAACAAACCCAAGGAGTGACGAAGGCTGGCTCGTGTTGATCTGCACCTTGATTTCGTGATATCCACTCTTCGTATCCAGAGTGGAAAAATAACGTGATCGAGTCAGGATCTCGAATAGGCGTGGCATTGGCCATGTCGAATCCTTCAGTTCTTCGTTTAGAACAGATGTTCGCGCAGAACCGATGTCAGTCGTCTTTCTTGAGGACCGTGACTGCTGGTGCTCCATAGTCGCTGTCTAATTCCCGAATGAGTCTTCAGCAATTCATCCACTCCTTCTTTGATGAGCTTCTCTTGCGAGCGTGCAACTCGGTATGCACTTTGATGAGCAGGCGAATCGATTCGGGAGATGGGGCATCTCCTGTATCGATTCGAAACTCTGCAGAACCCTATCATCCTTTGCTGCAAATACGTCTCAATTCTGGTTCAACAGGTTTTTCATGCCTTTGGCTCTCCCAGGCTGGAGTGCAGGGCGTTTCAATGGAATAGGACAGGGGTCGGCAACCTACGGTCCGCGGGCCGGATTCGGCCCGCGAAGAGGTTTCATACGGCCGAGTCGTGTTAATCCGGTCCGCAATTAATGAAAGGTTGCCGACCCCTGAATTAGGAGATGGGGCAGATGATAAGGTATGCCGTGGTCGAAGCGGAAAGTGGGGTGAGGGGGAGCTCCAAATATTCCATTGGGTCGAATTCTTCTCGAAGGCAGCTTCCAACGAAGTATCTTCTCTCCTTCAGATTCGATCTCGTGCAATTCCCTCTCGTCGTACTTCTTCACGAGAACTGGAATTTTGGGTCACAATCGGAGGGTCTGAGGCTTTCCCAGGGTATTTTCCACGAGAACTTCCATGAAAGGCCACGTCTGGATGCTCTTAACCCCTTCAGGGATGCTGACACAAATGTGGACGTTTGATTCAATGCATTTTAAATTGGTCAAAAACTGATCCACAGATGTTGCCAATTTGTTGGGAGTTTTCTGTGCAGTTGGTATCACTGTTCCCCCAACTTGCAAAGTACTCTTTAACTGTAGTAATTAAAAAAATTTTCATCCTTGAAATTATCCCTGAAGAGGTTAAATCCATCTTTCGGAGTCACGAAGCAATGGACGAATTGATTGCTTGTGATTTGCATCTCTGCTATCACCAAAGTGATGATGAGAGGTGAACAAACAAACTTCAAAGCTGTGACTGATACGGGAAAGGATTTTGAACTTTCCATCCATGAACTTTCGTGCTGGACTTTCTTGGGCTTGAGAATTCTCGACCGTCGCGAATTCCGATCCCTCGTGGAGTATCGAACATTTCATTTTCGAGTATGCCTTGGAGTTCTTGAGGCAAGCAAGCATTCACATTTTTGTCGTCTTCCGGCTCTCGAACACCTCGAGGCTGGGAGGAGTTCTTCTCTTCTTCCTCTCCCTCCAGATTAACAAGGACCTCGAACAGCAGCAGAATTCTTGGACGGGTTGAAGCAGGGGAAGGAACATCCTTTGTACTTCTCATCCTTTCTTCTCGAGCAACCCAGGACGAAACCTCCACGGTGTCGTCCAGGGTTGCGGCTTACTTTGAAAGCACCCCTAAACAACCGTAGTAAGTTCCTTGGCGAAGGTCATCTTTGCGATCTTGTTCGTCAGGACTTCCCCAACCGTGACTTTACCACCCAGGAAAATCGACCAGGAAAAGCTTCACGCGTTGCCAATAATCGTATACTTTTAATGTCGGTCTCTGCGAGACCAAAAGCAGTTCGGATAAAGCCGAGGTAGGATCTTTTTTTTTCCCCCTTCAAAACGATTCCGGAAGATGTGTGTAGTCTTCCAAGGAACCTGCTAACAAACCCTAACGAATGCAGAATCTATCGATCCTGGTGGAGTCCCAAGACCTTCACCTGACCAGGCAGTGATCCTCTAAAGATACGAATACGGGTGTTTTCCGATCTTCGAAGATGGGGATGAATAAGGACGCATTCGACAGGGACAGGTTCGGGGAGGCGGTGGATAGTTTGGATTGGGATTAGGAGTCAGCGGAAGAGAATCTATAGATCTCTGATTTGGGGCAGCCCGAATTAGAGGTCTATGAATTTATGAACGCCAATCAAACAGGAAAGCAGGGGCGGACTGGCCATCTGACAACTCTGGCAAATGCCAGAAGGGCCGATCTTTTCAAGGACCGAAGGGCTGGTCCTCATGTACCCTATTAGTCTTATGCAATGAAATATACGATTGAACACGAAGTATATTGGGAATAGGCCCAATTGTGGAACAATACATTATCAGGCGTTCCTAATAGGCCTACTTACATTTTCAGAGAAACATCCGCATTGATAGGGCAATTCCCAGTCGGGCTGGCAATGTGCTCCCGGCCCGGACCGCAGCTAATTCTGCATGGTATAATTCATTCCCCTGCTTTACTGTAGAAAAAAAAGTTATTGCTACCTAACCACTTACCAGTTTTTTGTTTGCAATGAATTAAACCAAAAATGCCAATTCACACAACTCAAGTCATCTATTGAACGAAGTTAAAAATACAAGCAGACAAAAGCTTAGTTGAATGATACGGGCTGATCATGAACGAAACAATGAAACACGAGTCGCCGGTGTCTCATGCGGGCAAGTAAGTTTTGGAAAGGACGACGTCGCCCGCATCAGAGACGAAAGAATCAGAAAGGAGTTAATTATAGAACTGATGGATGGAGAAGAGAGCCGACAGAGAAAGAAGGGGGATTAAACAAGGTGCGACGAGTGGGGCCTCACCAATGGGGCAAAGGAGATGGAAGAGGAAAGAAATTGTTGTCAGGCGGGTCAAGTCGAGCTCAGGTGACCCCGTTTTTTTTTTTTTTTTTTAGAAGCAAGTGTATCTCTTCCGTGTATAACGTGTGGCACAACATCGTTTCCATGCATTCCTGCTTGCGATACCTCACTTTCATTCCTCCCTACTTTTCCCCCATTGCAATTGTAATGTATAAAGAAATTCTGAATACATGACAACCCTGTCCTTCCACGAATGTCTCTTTCCACCCGCCATACTCAATAATATACTCAAACATCCCAGGTCGGTTAACGAGAATTTAATGACCTTTCCCCCCTTTTGACCATCCTGGAGCCGATACTACGTTTTCTGGGAGGGAACCAGCTATACATTGTTTCAATAGCGTCGCCACCCCAGAAGTGCGAATCCATAGCGCTTCGCAGTTGTGAGTAGACGAACCTCCCCCAGCTGCACCGCTAATGAGGGCCTAATTATTGTCTAGTAATTCGTTTTAGCGATCAATTTAGGCTTAGCCTCAATGTGGGCCAGTGCAAGTAAAAAAAAAAGCCAGGGTCGATTTTTAGTCCCACTCCGCCCATGTTGGAAAGGGAGCGTTGCTTTTGCCGATTAATCGGTTATGCTGAATACAAACAGAGGTCGCATGTTCGTTCGGTCTGAACACGGCAGACCGAACGCAGCGTCTTAGCCTCTCTCGTTCTGATGATTCCTTGAGAATTAACTACTCTCAAGTCGATCCGGGCTCCGAACGAAGATTGAAGGTGTGTTATCAAGGAAAGGTTAACAAACCCGCGCGGTTTATCGTGCCTCACGTAGTTGGGGAACAGCAGTAATGAGGGAGAGTTGCCTCACGGTAGGGATCTCAAATTCGGTTCATCCTACTTCCAGACTCTGTTCCGAACTACTACTCACCGGCAATTCGCTGGGGTTCGAACTACACCAAACACTGCTCGACCAGAGATCGGACGACTGTCAAATTCCGACACTCGCGTCTGGTTAGCGACAGCACACTTTCGACTATTGTACCCGACTGACCATTGTCCATCGCCCATTGTCTTGCCCGACCGTCGACTAACGACTGACCACCGTCCACTGTCTCGCCCAACTGTCGACTGACGCTGCTGGACAGGGAAGGACAAGGACGTGGAAAGCGAAAGTGGACAGTTATTGTCACTCAACGTGGGAACGGGAGGACTCTTCCCCCTCGACTCGTTACATCATAGCAGGGCACGAAGACGACTCCACCCAATAACTTCAAGATACATGAGATTGGGTTTGACTTGCTGCTGCAGGCATTGAGACACTCAAGGTGGGATATGCACCCTGCCTCAAAAAAGTCATTTCCTCTCTTTAAAGAGATCTTCCCTCACCCTCACAAAATATGATAACTGCGAGGTTGAATACATTGGTACCAAAGCATTTGAGTCTCCTCCGAAGGGTTGTTTCCTTGTTTAACTTTTTCTAAACACCTCCTATGCAGTCAACCATTATGTTCAAACACAGCAGGTCCCCTTAGTCATGAATAACAGGAAGTAAAAAATCCTTTAAATTTATGGAAGTCCTTTTTCATACTTAAAGTACTTAATTGAGGAGTTAGTCACAAAATCCAAAGAAGACAAGACATTTCCATCTGCCTTGGATGAAGTGGGAATAAATTCCCTTGTGGCAGAGAACATCCCAGCCATACAATGAGAAATGAATTTCTATTTTGCTTCAAAGTAGTTTCCCATGACACTTGCTTGAACAAGAGAAGGAAAGAAGACATTAGCAAATGTAGGTAGAGAATTCAGAAGAAGATGCCACGGACACGCCTCCCAAGGCCAGGACGGTCATACAGAGTGTTGAACTTGTTGACAAACTGGTTCATGGAATGACAGGTGGTCGTCATCACACCGAGATAAGCCATCAGGTGAGAATCATTGCATTGCTATAAATGATAAGAGGAAAGGTGGTTGTTTACTTGTCATACTAAATAGGAGAGATGTTAAAAGAAGGAAGTGTACAAACATTGTAGAACTCCTTGGTAAAGAGAGGGGAGGAGACAAGAGGGATCCGATGGCAGAGGGAATGAGCATGACGCAAGATTTCTTGGTTTCTTGGCAGCTCTCCTGCTTCCACTGCTTTCACATACTTCAAGATCAATTTCACTCGACTGTGAAGCATCTTCACAGCTCCATACTGGGCTTGCAAATGCTGTGCCACTAAAAAAAGCCAGACTCATATATATATATATATATATATTTTATGCTAAATTAATAAATCAGGAAAAATGCCTGTTTTGGAAAAATTAACCTAAATTTTAATGATCAATCATTCCCAGGGATTCTAGTAGCCTCATGCATTTTCAACTGTGGGGCTAAATAAGAGATTACTTTCTCAAGACACAACTTCTACCTAAAAAGAAAATTAAAACTTAGAAAAAGATGCATGTTCATGCTTCAATCTGAGTTACAACTACATGGGCATCAGACCCATGAAATTACTACTTGCCAGGGGAGAACACATTTTGTGACCTGGCCAGTGAAAAGCAAACAGTCTTGCAAAAATAAAACCACAGTCTGGTGAGCAAAAAGCAAACCAGGAAGCAACTCTCTTCTGTGCTTTAGTAGGTTCCTGTTACTTTGCATTGCCCAAAGAAACACTATATACATCTTATGTCTATCTATGCAGAATCTGTCTTTTTTACTGTAAGGAGGATAGGGCAAGGGAAAATTTTGCCCACCTGGTGAATTTAGGGAAATATGAAACTTAGTTTAAAGTTAGAAGAACCTGCTTTCCCATGGGATGAAATTTACCAACTTGGACAACCTGTAGTTGTATCCCTTCCTTTGAAAGGGAATATGTAGTTCAACATGCATTTGCTATAGCAACCAATGCATATACTGTGCACTCCATTGTCAGGAACAGAATCATTAAGGTCATGGAAGGTAAGCTCATATTATTGAAGCAGTCAATATATTACAAATTGACCTGGAACCAAGGTCAATAAACCAATAAAGCAGAATCCACAGTTATGGAATGTGGAGGTCTAGAGGAAATACACAAAGAAAAGGGATAGGGCTAGTAACAACTTACTGAGGGAGTGTTGTTCACCCTCTTGAGAGGAGAGCCTGGCGACATGATCAACCCCAATGCGTTCTGCTTCCTCAGTGGCCAGGCTGTAAGTCAACTCCACAAACAGCATCATGGCCTCTCCATTCACAAGGTCGATCACAGACTCATACACACTCAGGGGCAACTGGATTTCAAAGACATAACTTTCAGGAGGCATATAAAAAATTGAGCTCACTGTTGAGGCAAGAGAGACTCACATCAGTGTGACGGCCACTGGGGTTCAATTTAAGGAAGATGGGGCTTTCATTGAGCTCACAGATTTGCTTGTGTACACGTATGTCTGACTCGTTTGGAGAATCTCCTGTTGTGTACCATCCCAAGAATTCCAGGTCGCTGAATACTTGCTTGACTATAGAAAAATTAGGATGGAGACTATAGGTAACAGCATCTTAGTTGGCATCAGGACAAAATTGAGTGTCACTGGCAGCTGTGGCAATATATTCAGTATTATTTTGCATTTTGTATTTATGCACAAAAACTTTTGTTACAACCTAGTAAACATATAGGGTTTGCAGTTTCACCAATGAGGCTGGCTTCTGTCTTCTACTCTGGTGGAAGAGGGGAAATATATGTGTTCTTGCTCAGAAGGGCATGGCACAAGTCTGGTTCAAGCCTCCCTAACTGGTCAAAGAGCATCTACCAACCCCTTGCAGTGGAGAAGTTCGGTAAATTCTAGTCCCTTCTCATTGGCAAAATCCTGGCTATGTCACAGTAGCTCAGCCTTTTTTTCAGAAACCAGGTAATCTAATCCTGTTTATAAAGATACAGAGCAGAGCCTGGTACCATATCACATTTCCATACATGCCTATTCTTCTCCTTTTTTCACTCTTGTATCCTTTTTGAGAGGAGGGATGGCATAGCAGCAGCTGATACTAATGGTTTCAGGTGCATTGGTACAGTCCCAAATTAGAACATATAACTCAATATAACCAACTACAACCAAGTCAATTGAACAAATAACTCTTGATAAATTCCCAGTGTTTAATCCATCTGGCCTGAAGTCATACAGGAAAAAACAGGGCAGAAACTATTATAAATATCATACTAGGCATATATGGTAGTTAGACTGGCCAGATCCAAAACTTCCCTGGTTAGAAACAAGGAATATTTTCAACCATACAATTATACTGAGTTTTAGAAGTCAATTGTTAAAAGTGAATTTTTTTTTTACTTTAACACTTCAAAACCCATCTGTAAACTGTGACTGAAAATGGATGACATGCTAGGCACTAAGCAAGGAAAGCAAAGCATGAGATCAACTTCATCAACAGATGTATTAATTTGAATTAGAGGGGCAATTTGGAAAATAAATTAATTCCTAAATAAATTAGTGACTGTCCATCTAAAAAAATTCAGAAGCAGCTTGAGCACTCACACTGTTCTTCTTTGGTAGAATAGTACAACTTGTCAATGATGATATCATTCTCCACAATGTCAAATACTAGCTCGAAGGAATTCATGATCTCCAGGCATCTCCCTTTCTGTCTCCCAATCAATGCACCTAATACTGAAGCAAAAAGACAAGACACATTGAGATGGCAAGCTCTGGTGATACTATGATTTAAACCAAATAAACAACTGAGATTCCCAATTGATTACACAACATGGCTTTTATTAGTAGAAGATATTAGGCAGTGCAGATATGCAAGGAAAATTTCTCACTAACCCTTATACTCCAAGTATTTTGCCAGGTAATGCACCCTTTAGACCATAAAAAAATTTTTACACATGGGAGTTACAAAAAAAATGCCCAGAGAGTTGCAAGATAAAATTAGAATGAGTAGAAGAATTCCAGGTTGAAATCATGCTAGCCTAATCTTAGACATCTTCATTCAAGTTTGAAACTTAAACGATTTTCAACATAGGATTATGTTGAAAACCTAATCAGTGGAGAATTTAATAGCCTGCTTATTGGGCATGATTACTTCTTGTAAGAAATATCAGCAAACTTCAAAACGACAAGCAAAGGTGCAACATACACCTTACACTCCTTGTTTTAATAGCACATGGGCTTCTAATGATGTTACACCAGACCCATGTCATGCCTAGAACATAAAATCTTGAATACGCTATAAATCTTGAACGCTAAAGACCAAGAAACTTTAGTCCAGGCTAAGGCCTACCTTGCTTTGGTTCCCCTTCCTGTGCCCGAGTTCGGGTCCAGTGTTCCGAAATATTCATGATGACGACTGGATGAAGAGCAACGGACACGCTGCCTTGGGTTCCCGATGAAGCCATCACTCCTTTCGGTCGAACTTGAGGCTCCATAGGAGTGTCCTTCTCCCCTTCTTCCTTTGCTTCTTCGTCCACTTCCATCTCACTAGGTTGGGAAGAGTTCTACCTTTCTACCCGTTAAAATTCAGAACACCAAGCGTCGAAGACCTCTTAAAATGCGATCCCCAGGTGGAAAGATGCCATAAGCCCACTTCTGGGCCGCTGTTGGCCTAAGCTAGAAATACCGTAACAGTGCAATCAGGGACGACGACATGTTGGAATAGCTTAGAGGGTTACGGTTGTTCCAGGAATCAAGAACAAACGATCGGTGTTATATGCCTACTTACTCTTATATATAAAAGCTTAGTAGAAAAATGTAAATCTCAAATCCTTTAAAATTTTATTCATGATTTTAATATCTTTGATTTTATGATTTAAAAAACTTTTTAAAATTATTTTCGGTCAGCACTCCATTCCCCCAAAGTGGGAGCTCCGGCATCACTGTTTGGTTCCCTTTCGGCCAGCCCAACGTGGTTGTCTGCACGTGGTCTTCGTCTATCATGGATGGTGCTCCGAACTTCGTTTTGAATTGGCGGGCGTCTCGCAGTTTCACCAGCAACAGAGGTCACGGAGGATGGGGGAATCAGACACATCGTCACCTAAACTTACATCCTATGGTTCGTGAAACTCTGATTGATGCAGCAGGCAAACCCTGAATCTGTTCAAAAGTTTGGACTATGTTGGTAAGAAGTTAGAGAAATTCTAGGTTCTAATGTTAGAGGTAAAATCATCTTAGAGCAAACCATGGATGACAGAGGAAATCAGAGAGGAAATGAGGAAAAAGAGGGAGTTGCAAGATGCATTGAAGAGCTGTGGAGAGGAGAGTGGGTCTTCTATCCTTTATGAGTTTCGTGAACAAAGGAAGAAAGTCAACCATCTCCTTCAAAAGGCTGAAGCTGAGTGGATGCTACAAAATCCTAAACAGGTGTGGTGTAGGTCATGGATCTTTGCATAACCTCACAATGAGAAGGGAGAAGATAATGCTAGGCACTGCAATAAAATTTGATGAGCTTGGGATATAATTTGCTGATCAAATAAGTTGAAGTAGCAGCAGAAGAAACAAGGTACATAAGATGTGTGAAAAGAAATAGAAGTAATTATGACTACTGATAAATAACAGCTGCAGCAGCAAGATGTCAATCCCTTACCAGTTATAATTTTAAAAAAGTTCCAACTGAGAGACAGTTAAAAAAAAACACCTAAAGAGATATCTCCTGAAATAAATTAGGATCTGAGTTTGAAAGCAGCATATATGTTTTCAAGTTCCTGTTCCAACTCAGGCAGTCCAGGGCAAAACTTCAGGGTGTTTGAGTGGCCCTTTATTTGCCAATATTTGTATCTGTCCTTATTTCACCATTTTATCCATTGGTTGCACACTTTCTCATTTTCTTTTCCTGCCCCCATCACACTTTCCCCATCTATCTTAGTGCTCCAAAACTAATTTACTTTCCTATTGAGCACTAAATCTATTCCAGTGCTGCACTTTCCTGTGCTGACATTAGTAAAGGGCATTCATTCATTCAAAAAAGTAAGACATAAAGTGTGGTGCACATGCAGTAGGTAAGGCATTATATAGGTGCTTAAATGTTTTTAGATGGTAGGACTGGATCTATGAACAAAGGATTCATTGTTCATGACTGATTTCTTGCTGCCTGGTATATTGAAACAAAATCATTGCCTTTGATTTTTTCTAATGCATAACTATCTGTTGCCTGTGTTGAATGGAATGTATTTTCCATTACAGGCAGAAGTGTTGCTTTTAAGTGAGAGGGGTAAGGGAGGGAGAGGGGACTCCATCAAGCCTTATGGATGTGATTCATGTGACCGCCACTATCGCACAAAGGCTGAGTTGGAATCTCATCTGAAGGAGCATGTCAAGTGTCCCTGGCCTGGTGGTTGTCCCCTTGTTGCCCACCCAAAGATTCTGGAGAAGCACATAATGAATCAGCATATGACTGGATTGGCTGAGAAATTGACTGCCCTCAACACCCCTGAAGAGATTTCACTATGGCGTTCAGAAAGGAAAAAGTGGGCCTCCTTGCCTGTTTTTCTAGGAAGTTTACTTCTCTTGTATTCTTGCTAATGTGGAATTCAAAATGTGATTAGAAATTACCCAACAACTGAAAGGAAAGCTGAGAAGAGGGCTGCTGATGAGGAAAAGAGGCAAAGAGGAGAATTGACTATTAGGAGTCACCGTTTTGGCCAGGCTGGACATCGTGGAGGCAGGCAACGTGAGCTGCACCCTTTGTTTTGCTTCTACAAGAATTTAATCTCATTTGCACATGCTGTGTCTCTCCATTTTTTTATACAGGAGGGTGGGGAAGAGGACGGATGCAAGAGGGAAGAGGAAGAGGAGGGATGCATGAAGGAAGAGGAAGAGGAGGGATGCATGAAGGAAGAGGAAGAGGAAGGATGCATGAAGGAAGAGGAAGTGGAGGGATGCATGAAGGAAGAGGAAGAGGAAGGATGCATGAAGGAAGAGGAAGTGGAGGGATGCATGAAGGAAGAGGAAGAGGAGGGATGCATGAAGGAAGAGGAAGTGGAGGGATGCATGAAGGAAGAGGAAGAGGAGGGATGCATGAAGGAAGAGGAAGAGGAGGGATGCATGAAGGAAGAGGAAGAGGAGGGGTGCATGGGGGAAGAGGAAGAGGAATGGAGAGATATCGAGGAAGGGGGAGAGGAAGAGGATTTCTAACAGGGGATCCAGAAGGGGCACCAGTGGGAGAAAGAGAGTTCCAGTACATGAAGAGAGATAATGAAAGAGATGATGATGAAGAGGACCCTGACAGTCACATTGATCTAGTACCTTTCAGGGGAACTTGTATGTCTCATCTTGCACATCACATCTTGGTGCAATGACATCCAATTGCTTGAATTCTTGTTTTTCTATCCTCAGTGGGCATGGTCCTGGGTGATACAGATCCAAAGCTTAGGGAGTTGTTTTTGGTGAGGATACCTTGTCTTCTTTGTTTTCATTTCACAGCAAGAAATTCCCAGAATTGCATACATCCATAATAAAACTATTGTTTTTGTAGGTGGAAGACAGGACTGAGGATAGGAATGAGAAGACTGAAGTCTCACTTGAGCAACAACCTGGTGTGTTGCCTTTTTGAAGTTCCATAACTCTTGATTAGTAGGAATATGAGTATGAAATCAGGAAAACAAATGATGTGAGATTTACTTTTCTAAACAAATTATAAACTATAAGTACAAAGTACCCTTCCATTGTCCCTCAAGGACTTGGGTCTTCTTCTCCCCCCCCCTCCCTTCCACACTTCTTGAACATGCTGATTCATTTCCTACTTTCAAAACACAACTTCTTGTGAACAATGGGTTGTTGCAGGCAAGCAGAAGAAGTGCAGTTTGGTGGGAAAAGGGTTGTGAAATTTGAATGGTAAAGTGTATGTGGGTTTTAGTAATGAACCTATGAGCATGTTCTGCCACTTCTACCCTATAACTTTCAGTATTTGTATTGATAACTGAATGCCATCCAATTTGAAGGAGGAGGTAAAAATAACAAGCCTGTTTTATGCAGCTAAAGTTTCAGATTAAAAATCAGCCTAGCATGTGGACAACATTACCAACCAACTTTAGGAACTGTGATCTGAATGAAAGAAAAAGCAAAAAACTAACAATACCTGCCATTTTCCCACAGCTCTCTATGGAAACGCCAGATAATCATACTGCATTTTTCACCATAGAGAGCGAGATCACAGACTCAGAATGGGAGGATGGGGAAGTTCGTGATGATGGAAACAAGAATGGGAGAATGCCCTCCTCCTTGCAGACCCTCATGGGAGCCTATGCATCTTCCTCTCCTTCCCCTCCTCCTACTCCTACTCCTCTTGATTCCAAGTCCTCTCTTGCCTCAGAGAAGAACCAAAGTAACTTGCACAAGGCAAAAGATGGAGAAGTTGAGAGCCATGTGCCTGAACGAAGCCAAGGGAGGAGGAGGTGGGGAAACAATAGGCGCAAGAGACAGAGAAGAAATTCCACTCATGAAGAAAGTCTAAAAAAGAAACCCAGATTCATCCCCAGGCGGAGAACCACTCTTCTTGAGAAGGTCTGTTTAAATGTAGCTCTTGTGTCTGTCCTTGTTGGTGATCCTTTCCCATGCAGTTTCTTGAGTCTGTGTCATTTAAAAGTACAGTCTGTCTATTCACTATTCATCTCTGTTATTTTGAGTTTTTATTACTTGTACACTTCTCAATACTCTACTCAATCCTATTTTTCCAGAAGAAGCAGTGCCAAAAGGGTACATGCATACTTTCATTTTGTGGTTAAGGGTGTTAGGGGGTTGCTTAGTGATTTGGTTGTGATTTTGACTAGCTGTTGGAGAGTGAGATGAATAGGGAGAGGAACATCCTTCATCAGTGCGTGCATTATGTCGTGGCCCGAGGATTCTTCCTTCCCAGTTGCCCATTGGTGTCATTGCCTCACCAACCAGAGCAGACCTAGTCCTCTTTTGTATCTCTTTCTCACCTGGAGAAAGAGTTTATTGTTTCTAGCATCGTGTGTGGCCATGAATGAAGAAAACCAGAAATTTGTAGAGAAAGTATTTGCATTTCCACACTACTCATGCTTGTGTCAGACTCATGTATTTGTGATCATTCTATGGTCATAAATGAAATTGCAAAATGTGATGATTCTGTCAGTTGTGCCATAGGGAGAATCACTCTCTATGAATGCCACTATCTTTAGCCACTCGAGGTACTGCAATATCTCTAAAGGTCAACAGAGCATGACAAAACTTGCGTGATCGACCTGAAAGAGTGCATTTACAAATATGTGAACTTGAACCCATCATTGATTCATCAATGTGAAACGGTCTTTCAGGGCACCCAAGTCTTTAACACACACCAAGCACAATTACCATGTCCCTTCATCTTGACATTTAAAATAATGGCCAACAGCCTCTCAGATCAGTGAGATGTTCTATTGCCCTGTCCAGTCTAGTCATATTTACCATGTCTCTGGTTCGTTACTTCCTGCTTTTCTCTTAGTTTCTGTGCATGAAATCCAACCCCAATTTGTCTAATGTTCATGCCATTAGCCCATCAGGGAATGCCCTACCCCCTCAAAAAATCTTAGGGCCAAGTGCTGAAACCTCCTTTAGTTAACCTCCTGAACACATGACACACCCATATGCATCATGGAGAAAACATGCAACTGATACAAGACACTCAGTGGTTGCTGACCAAGTGCTCACGGGGGGGGGGGTGGGAGTTATCTCAAGAGGGAGTAAAGCGAGAGGTAAGTAGAGAACTTAAGCAGAAGCAAAATATTTTATTTAACATAAAATTTTGGCGTATGACAGCAGGAAATTGTCCAAAACGCAGAGGTTCTCAAACTAGGGGACGCGAGAGGTCGTGTAAGTTTTTTTGCATCCATTACAATCAGCAATTTATAAAATTATGAAATATTTTTTATTCATTATCGGTTACTTTTACTAGAAAAAGGTAACATTCCTTCAGATCTTTCGCCTGGAGTACAAGACTTAAATGGAAGCAATTCCAGCAAACCTTTAAATTCTATTCCTTTTTTCAAGGGGTATACATTTGCGTCGGCAATTTCCTACGATTCGAATAAAGATGACAAATCGTGCGTCCATGTGGGCTGTAACTTGAATGCTCGATGAATGTAGCGTCCGTGCGCTCGTGCTGTCTAAATACTTGAAGAAACGCAATGACGTAGAAGAGCTGAGTTCCCCTGGCTGAGCAATGTTTCTGAAGGCATTTCTTTGTCACGTCTTTGAAACTGAAATTTGTGCCTTTATTGTTACCGTCTAGTCCAGATTCGATCATTTGTGGGCCCATAAGCATGTTAGCACCGTTCCCTTAAATTACGCGATTGAAAATACGTTTCCAAGCTGTGACCCAGTCCCTGAAACGTTGTAATCCGTTTCTTATTTTTTCAATCATCGCATGAAAAAACATCTGTAGTATAAGTTTTCTAGGTACTCCTCTCAGAGAGAAAGGGGGTGCGGCGTCGAACCAGGGTCGCAGCGTAAAAAGTTTGAGAACCGCTGGGTTAACGGTTCTTTAAAAATACATGGACTCATATGGGGGAAAAGGAACTCTTAAAGTTAAAGACCTTTTTCTTTTAATCCACCTAAATGAGGTTTGTTCATTCGAGATCTAGACATTTGTTCCAAATAACCTAGAAACATTCTATACGATAGGATATGTCAAAGAAATCTCTCGAAACCATAGAATTAATTTCAATTGATGCTAAACGAGCGAAGTCCCGGATTCTGATAGTTGACTCCTACTCATGATCGCGGATGGGAGTTCGTAGCCCAGAGGCCTTCCCTGGTTCATAAACATGCATGGGGGGAGTGGAATAGTTTTTGGACTTTGGACTGGGACTTTTCTCTCTCACGCCTCGTAACCTCTTACCGTCCTTGGCAACCCTAGTTCCTAACACTTAGGTTTATTATGTGTAGGTTTACATAGCAAGGTAATTGTTGGGACTACACAATTGAGTAGAGGATCCTTGTTCGCAGGAGTCGGCCCATGAAATAATTTATCAGCTAAAATTTTTCCCAAAGAAATTTAAATATTCGTTTTGCTGTAATGTGTCCACATGAATCACCTATCGCAGTAGAAAATTCATAATTGAATTGAATTACTAACTTTAAAATTGAGGAATCCTAAATCATTTCACCCATCACGCTAGTTTGTTTTTGTATTACGAGAATAAACCAGGTTAACTGTCGCCTACGTAAGAAAAGTTACCATATAGCTGTTTTTTTTTAAAATTATTCTATGATGGAATGATTTCGGATGAAATTGGACAGGAATAAGTATTTTTTTATGAAAAAATGCTCTAGTAAGCTTGAGATAATTGCTATAAAAAACCTAGTTTCTGAAGAGCAATCAAAGGTATGCTGTCAATTCGTAGGTAGTACTTAGAAGTATCATTTCGTATAAAATCTATTTACAACTGATGCAGAACGGGTGACCCAATGGATTTCTGTACGAACAATGCACACGTAATGAACTATTTTCGCTTCACCTATACCTTTAAATTATTTTTTGAAACTTCATTGAATCGTTGACATTTGCGTCTATCTCCTCTCCCTTGTGTATTGTGTTTGCCGGAAAATTCTTGCAGTTTCAGACAATATTTGAGAAAAAAATTTTATTCAGCAACTATACAATATCAGTGAACAATGTAAGCACCATTGTGTTCCACTACGTGTCTCCACCTTCCGCCAGGGAATGGATTCCGCCGTGGTAGGTCGATGGGGGCTGAGACCCAAAGAACTGTCGCAAGTAGCATTCGAGGTCTTTCTGGTCGTCGAACTTTTTCTCTTTGAGGGGTTCTGCAGGGCGCGGAAAAGGTAGTAATCCGACGGAGCAAGGTCCGGGGAGTACGGTGGGTGAGGTAGAATTTCCCATCCAAGGGCGAGGAGTTTGAGCCGAGTCATCTTTGCGGTATGCGGCCGGGCATTATCGTGGAGGAACAGCCCTTAGTCATGTCCCGGCCGAGCCGTTGAGAGTTTCTAGCTTAATCTTTCCAGTTGGTCGCAGTAGGAGGCCGCCGTGATGGTGGTGCTGGGAAGAAGCAGCTCGAACATCACGACACCTTTCACGTTCCACCATACGGAGAGCATCGCCTTGCGGGGGTGCAGTCACCTTTCGGTTCCAACTGCGACGCTTCATCGGCGTATACCCACTGACGCTTGCGGGTATGGTTCGCGTACATCATCCACTTTTCATCTCCCGTGACAACGTCTTCGAGCCATTCGAAGCACCGTCGGCGGGAGAGATGTATACAGGTGTCGGAACGCTGCTCGAGATTCTTCTGTCTCAAAACATGAGGTACCCAACTCCCGAGGGTTGAGACGTTCACGCTCGTGGACAGGCGGTGCTCGATGGTGGAGTGGGAACACTCGAGGACGGCGACCATTCCACGAAGGGCCATGCGGGGAGCAGCTTCCACGAAGTGTATTAGCGCCTCGTCACCCAGCTCCGACGGGCGTCCCGAGCTGGACTTGTCTTCGACATTATACAGGGTGTTCAAAAAGAAACGCAACCTATGGAGAATGGGTGTTTATTAGTAAATTAAAAAAACTGTTGAATGTGTTGGTCATTATGGTTTGCGCATACTTCGTAAGTGTAAACGACGCATCATGTTATCGAACGCTTGTTTTAATGTTTTTTTGATATACCTTCTACTGTACGCTGAAATCCTAAAACATGGTTTCAACAGGACAACGCGACTGCTCACACTTTCCACACCTCGTTGGATTACTTAGAATCTGTGTTTCATGGGCTAATTCTAATGATTTCAAAAGGATTATGGCCACAAAGGTCGAACTTCTGGCTCATACTCGATGGTAAGGGTTCGAAAATACATCGAACCTGCGCGCAATAAGGGAGACTATAGGTGAAGCGGGAAAATTCAAGAAAATTCGTGAAGCTTCCCAATGAGAAAAAGAAAAATGCAAGAACTTTCCGACCAACGCATTAAGTGAAGGCCAGAAATGAAAAGTCACGATGTAAAGTGTGAAAATCTCTTTATCATGCCAGCATCAATAAAATCTCGTAAAATTTGCAACAAAATATGGCACGACCGAACAAGAACATCTGCAGAAAATAAATAAAACCGGAGAATAAAACGGAGGCAGCCAGACTTCCGTCTCACACGTATCCAGGCGGAGGTAGAAAACCGGGCGGATGAACCACAGGATACCTGGGCACTTCCTTCCATTTCCTCAAATCCATTCGAGGTATTTCGGCCGTGGTACAACTCACTCGCCGGTTCCTGAGGAAAACGCAAAACAAATTCAGAATAAAGGCTTTCGTTTTGTCATTTTTCCGTTCGGGATTCCTCAATGCAGTTGCTCACCACTCGTAGTTTGGTAGCTGCATGGGAAAGCGTTGAATAGCAGCGATATGGTCGCCCTGTTCACAGACCAAGCCCGCCAGGCTCACTTTCCTAATCTCGTCCAGTTGGGCTGCAGGGGAGGAAGGAACAATTCACTCATTTGAGGAAATTTTCCGGCGGCACAGAAGTGACTGAATCAAACTCTTGATGCGCGACGAGACGCTAGATCTAACCGAAGAACGAACCTCTATTTTTAATAGTTTGAAAGACTCACGGAGAGAGAAGGACGAAGGCCAGCCGGGATTCTCGTACCAGAAACGATCTCCCCATCGGAGGTCCTTGAATTGGTTGCCAATGAGGCAGGCGATGGTCGGTCCCACAGCCGCGCCCTCGATCGCCTTTTCGCTGACTATTCCCGACCACAGGTCGATGTGACGCACGTCCCTACGACAATTTGTATTTTAGCGACAAGGGAATGAATCAACGTTTAAAAAAAAATACAAAATTTAAGAATCTACCGATCGTGAATATTTCACAATACAACACTCGTAACTTATAAAACGCGTCCGATCGCTGCGAACGAAAAAGCGTGACACACTTATATAGCTGCGAGAATCTGTAGGCGGTCTGGTTATCCTGCATGATGGGGTAGAGATCGGCGAAGTCCGCAACGGGACTCAACCCGCAGAGCCGACGGTAGTAGACGTAACCCCGGAGCCCGTGATCCCTTCCCCTGTGGATGTTCCGAGCAGCCAAGTCGTGTCCGAAATTCTTGCCGGCCGCCTGGAAGAGGTAGTTCCCCAGATCCACGTTGACACCCGAATCGTAGGCGTCGGCCGGCTGATTCGCCATCCCCAGGGCGAAGTTGTCCAGGCGTCCCCCCTTGTGCATCTCCCACGGCTTGTTGAACAGGTCGCGCAGCTGCCATTTCTCCACGAAGCGGTGATTGTAGGAGTAAGTGTGAATCTCCGAGGGGACGAACGTGTGGCCGACCCTGAAGGCAGCCGTCGCGAACTCGGACCACACCACGGCCTCCCACGACGGGTCGTAACCGCGCCAGTAACCGCGCGGCTCCAGCGTCAGCCCGTACGTGTCCATCACCTTCTTCCCCAGCAGCGTCGGCAGGAATTCGTTGTACGTCACGTGCTGGATGGTCGCGATCACGATCCGTCGCGCTTCCTGGAACAGTCTCTCGTCGTCCCAGTGGGGATTCACGTACGAGAGCTTCACGGCCAGGTCGTTATGGTAACGGAGGAAGAGCGTGTGCATCACCATCAGGAGCGTCTGTTGATTCGCCCGACCATCACCTACGAACCCAAATTAAAGGTCTGAAAATCTAATAGCCGGATGAAAAGATGATGGAATTTGGAACTAAATTGTAAAACAGTAAACTGGGGAAATTAATGCTGGGAATGTCGAACTCCGACCTGCATCGAAGCAGAAGGAGTTATCGTTAGATCGGGAGCAGCCGACGTCGGGGTTTTCGTGCCGTAACGGCAACAAGGGTTTCCAAGTGGCCCCGAGGATTCCGGAGTCGACCTTGAGCTGTCCCCTTTTGAAGGACCGCAAGGAATTGGCCTTACTCCGCGTCGGTCCATACACCTGAGACCCGTCCACGTACGATGTCACCTCGTTTATCTGCTCTCTTGGCCCTTAGGGATCCAAAAATCATTTTCTACCAAAAGGACGATCAGACGTAGGAAATAGAAATATTAAAAAAATATAAAATAAATTTAAAAAGGGAGGGGGGGGGGATTACTTACCGAGACGACAACCGAATGTAACGCCGGGTCGCGACCTCACGAAGTTCATACAAGTTTCCCCGAATTTGGAATAGAAAGGATCCCTGCGGTCGATGTCGATGTTCCAGCAATCCGGATGATTCTTCTTCTGAGGTGTCGATGGGTCGGGGCAGCACTTCATGCTGCGGTCCTTCCGACTCGCGTCTGTCCGTGAGAAAACAAGTCAAAAAAGGTGAAAGGGTCGATCGAGTATCGATCCAGGCTCGACCACGGAAACGCACCTTGGACCACGATGGCATTGACGATGTCGTGATCTATGTACTGACCCCACGCGACGAACATGGTGGTGAGGAAGCGTTCGTGCTTCCTCGGATCTTGATGGAGGAACCACGAAACCTCACGCGGGTTGGGGAGGGGGTTGCCCTGCGCCGAACTCAGCGGGATGCCCAACCCTGCCGGGAGACAAATCACATTTTAGAAGAAAATCGTTCGAGCAAAAATTCAAGGATTAAAGTTCACTACGAATGCGAAAAATCGGCGAAATCGTTGGCAGAAATTCAAGACGAACAAAATGCATGAAAGACATGTCCAAAGCCCAATTCCCTCATTCTGAGGAACTAAGACCCCCGCAGAAAACAGAACGGGAAAACTAGTATTCCACTCCGTTTTTGCGCAATTTTCCTCAAAGGAATCTGCATTTTAGATCGCGTTATTTTCCCAGCGACTACGAAAACCCCGCCGTACCGTCTTTGTAGAAAGCCGTGACGAAGCGCTTGATGATCGTGAGGCTGGCCCCCCAGCCCGGATGCTGCAGGTTGTTGCACCACCCGTCGTAAGACCTGTACTTCGACACGGGGCAGGGCGGCTGGGGCGGACCGTCCCGGAAGTGCACCGGGCACACACGCCCGATTTCAGTCTCCTCGGTCGGGATCAGCGCGAGGTCCTTCGCCGCCTGCGTCCGGGACAGTCCCAGCCTGCGACGACGGAACGGTCAGGTCAGACTTCAGCGAGTCGAGATGCATATACCATTTCCTTCCAAATACATGGAAGATGCTGGTACGGGGATAATCAGGTTTTAAAGGAACACGCTAGCTACGATGGCTTGAAAATGACCGCGGGGGGAAACGAAGTCGTCGTTCGCGTCTTCATTTCACCCACATCCAATCTCAGTAGCTGCCTACTAGTATTTTTCTTTTACTGCTCTTCCGACAGTATTTCGTAAGACCTGCGCAGGTAGTTACACGATTTCTCGGTGATGAGTTTGAATATCAAAATCTGACAACGCGAGCGAACGACTTCGAAAAGCAAGGTCAAGGAAAGCAATAAAAAGACGGACTTGCGAGCAAGCGCTTGAGCAGTGGCGTGGATCGCCTCCCCCAGACTCCCGACGGCATCGATGCTGATGGAGTCGCTCGCGTTGTAGACGATCGACCTGGTCCCGGCCTGGCCGATGGCTCGGGTGAAGGCGTCGTTCACCATCTCCCGGGTCACGCACAGCTGCCTTCCCACCACCTCGGACGGAGGGCCGCTGGTCAAAGTTAACACGAACTACCGGTTAAATTTTACCGCCGTATTAAAAGTAGTTATCCGTAATTTTTCCCCCTTAGTTCCCTAGTTAGAACATGCTAAGTGTCGATTAAGGAAAAAATTGTGGAGGACCTTAGTTACCAAACGAGAAAAGGAGATTAAAAATCGACGAACAGTCGATTACTATTAATACAAGGCTTAAACACTAGAACTAAAGAAATCTCTCCCCCCTCCTAGGACTAAACGGGAGACGGACTAGGTGTTGGTGGGTCGAGTGACCTCGGTGGAGCCGATGATAACGAGGCATCTCGGTCCAGGACCGGGCATCGGCTGGGGCATCCCCAAGACACTCGGGAAGATGTTGCCGGGAACGGGTGAGAAGTATTGCTGGAGGTTGGGTGGGTATGGCATGACGGGGGGCAGCGAGAATCCCCACGTCCCTGTCCGCATCAACACCCATGTCCATGCCAAGCAACTGGATCGAACGGGACAAAAAAAAAATTGAAATTAGATGTGTGGCAAAGCGTAAAAAAAGTTAGCCGAATAGCAGATTCGCCGTCAAAAAATCATTTTCTACAGTTGCCGAGTCACCTGCTCCCACAAAAGCTCTTGGTAATTATACATTTCAAATCTGACGCTTAGACAAAAAATAGGAGGAAACACTCGAGGCCCTTCGAGACCTGTAACGCCTCCGACGCGGAAAGACGAACCTGCTCCATCTCGACGACAAGAATGCAAAAGACTCACGTGACGAGAAGCCGCTTCTCCATACCCATGGTCGACGGAGACGAAAGACAAACTGACTCGCCGTTCGAGAAGACGCCGAGCTTTTGAAGGAGAAAGCCAGACAGAGGCGTGTCATCCCCTCCCTCTTTCCCCTCCCTCTGTGACGTGGTGGAAAACTTGCTCTCGGCGTCCTCGTTCTCCCCTGCAGGGGATCCTTCCCGATGCTTCCCCTTCCTCCTCCCCTTCCTTCCTTCCATTCCCTTCTGCCAGTGGAAAACTCCGGCCTTCGTCTCCTCTTCCCTTCTGCCCGGACGCAGGAAGATGCAGGAAGACGCAGATCCTCACGCGATCGCTTCCGGTTTCCCATCCGCCCGTGTGAGAAGAGAACTTTCATCGATCGCAGGTCACAGCCTTCGAGAATCTTTTCGTTTCGAGTCGTGCCCTTTCCGACGATCCCACCGGATGCTCAGAAAATCTTTCTTCTACTCGTCGCCCCTATCGCTCGGTCGGACTGGGAAAGCTCGATCGAGAGCCGGTACGATTTCGCTCTTTAACAAATAAAATGAATTTCCCCGTGTGTGGCCATGCCTCACGCATCGAAGAAGCCGGACGATGGTCGTCTTCAAAGTCACGAGTGCAGGTGCTTCGATTCTTCGAATGTCCCCGATCGGGAGCGCAGTTCCTAATTTTTTCATCGTTCGCATTCATTCGTCGATTCGTTCGTAAAGCTCCGGAGCAGCCTCAGGTGGAGTTTTCGGACGTTGAGAAAACGTGGCCGTTCGAGGATCCTCCCCTTTGCAGTTTCGGAATCGAGCAGAGGTTGGCATGTGAGCCCCGGTTGTTCCTGGTGTTTTTTCCTTCTGTCCCTTCAGCCTTTCCTTTGGAACTTTTCCATACTAATATAAATGTCTATCAATTTTGGGACCTCGATGTTGGTTTTCCTTTCCTGACTTTGCTGGACCGAATCCGAGGTAATACAAATTCAGTCAGGTGTTGACTAGGGATCGATTCCCATTCGATTCACGACAGGTCTCGCTGGTAAAACCAGTGAATTTGTCGACACGAAAATTGAATTTTTCATCTCGGGGGAGAAAAAAGGCCGATTGAGCTCAAGTAGAATGTCACGGGGTGAGTTGGATGAGTAGTCGTTTCTTTTCTGACTTACGAGTGGAATATACCATAATTAAAATATGCATTTGTAAAGGCAGGAAAGGTTGGATGTCAAGATTTGACGAAAGAAAGCCAGGGGTTCGGCCGGGAATGGAACACGGGCCTTCAGCTTGTCGGTCTGATGTGCCACCATTACACCACCGAACCCGGGACATTCAATCGTGCCTCTCGATGCCATCCTTATTTTCACACATTAAGAAGTGCTCTGCCAAGCCATTTCCACCTGGCCTAGCCCCTCGGAGGAGTTGATCACGCGGAGCGTGCCAACTCGAAGGCAACAACCAGTTACTCATTCAGCTGCCTTAATAGGAAGACGGAGGGTAACAAGAGGTAACGCTCCAAAAAGAAGGAAATTTGGGTGGTGGGGTTTGAGATATCACAGACATCTGTTGGACCCAGTCCACAACATTTCGGTAAGTCGTATTTCTTGGCAGTGAAATCGGGATTCGACTCGGAGGGGATGGAAGCGCCTCGACGAATCCGGCGATGGAAGAGTTACCGACGGGTGTCCGTTAGGTCAGATCGACATTGCGACGAAGTACGATACTTCGTGTATTTTCATGAAGACGTGTTTGGGTGTATCGGGTGTACACTCTGGGTCCTGAACACGCTCCCGCAAGCATTCATTTTCCGTCAGACTTTTTTTTTGTTGTCTACGATCGCTCGACACGGGATTTGTGCATGCCTCCCGGCGTCTTCACCTTGGACTTGGCACTATGGGAAAGCATTCGCCCGGCCGAGGACAAAGGGAGCTCCGACTGCCTTCGGGGGTTTCGCTCTTCACCCGGCCCGCCCTCGACCTTCACGCATTCGGTCTCTCTGCTTTCTCTCAGCGATCCGTTTCTCGCAGACGCGGAAAGGATGTCGCGTTTCGCTTACGTGCGTGCGTCTCGTGGATGTCCCGTGGATGTCATTCGGTGAAACGTCTGCTTCGGGTCTTGGACGCCTGTTGTTTTCGAAGAGATTTCAAATTGACCTGTTTCATACAAGGGGCCCCTCTTAAAAAAAAAGGGCCCGCGTGAGAAGCCGGACTTTCCAATATTCCTTCGGGTCAAAAGTGCCGACGTCATTTGACTCTTGACCGGAACGATGTAATTTGGACCCTGTGGATCTTTTAGCGGGGTCAGGAGAACGATTTTTTTTTCCCATGTCATCGTCAAGGTGCCTTTTGGGCAACATTTCAGCAGAAATCGGCATCTCATTTGCAGCACGTTTAAAATGAATCGTCGGAGATCTCGATCATTTTCCTTTCCCTGTGAATTCTGAGAAACGGCCGAGGAGGACGACATGAAGGAGAATCCAGCAAAGATTCATTGACAACAAGGGATGGGGATTCTAATAACTTCATTTTCAAAGCACACCCCAACTCGTTAAATGGATCACGATCAACTAACGTGTTATGATAACGATAAAAGCTACAGAAAAGTGAGAAAAATGTACAAAGAGTCCATCTCGTGAACAAGATAATAATAAAGCTCAAGCCAAAAAAAACAGCCATTCATGGTCCATCGGTAGTTTTAATTACATTTCTTATATCACAGTCTCCAAGGTAAGAACTAACGTCTGTTATAAACTGAAGTTTAGTCACGCACGTCGCCTATTCACACAGTCAACCTGAGATCAGTCTCGAGTATTGAGTTGGGTCGTCTTCACGTCAAATATCACTAAATTTCAACAATAAAGAGAAAAAAAAAAACCGAGGAGGTCGACCGATGGAGTCTCTCTCTAACGAAAGCCTGAGAAGAGTCCAGTTACGGCAAGAAGGGACAGATGTCACTTTTGATTTTTCTTTCTTTTTTTTTCCCCATTCATTTAGCCGATGGAGAAGATCTTCTTTCTGAAGAGATCAATGATCCCATAGAATCCAAACGGACAACTATAGGCCTGCCAGCACTGGTTCCCGTGTCCTTCGGCGAACAACCAAGCATCGCTGTAGATCCCCCTGCGGAAATACAAGCAGTCACAGAATACATTTCGAGAAACGGGATGTGGAAGTCGCATACGCTCGAGCGCGAAGCCGAATGCGCTCGAATGCGAATTCGAATATACTCGACCACTCACTTGCTGAAGAGGAACTTCGTCAAGTGCTTCAAGAAGGGGATTTTCTTCAAGACCTGGTGGATTTCGCAGATAGTCCTCTTCTTGCAGGATTGGTGAGTGATGTTCAGCCACTTGAAGGTCGTCTCGAGCGGGTCCAGGCTGCAAGAAAACGTCCGAACCTTTCATTCAGGCCTTGAGTCTATTTATAGACTTGTGGCCTAACGTTAACGTTAGACGAAAGACGCCCAAACGCGTGACCTAATTCTGCTTCACCGGTGAAACCTGTCATTGACTTTGAAAAGAAGTCCGTTTCCTTCCTGTGCAACAATTACATGCGGATTCAATTCAAGACTTACAGTTGGAGGTATCTTATACCAAAAAACACCAAGCTGTCATGTTATTTAATGGAGTTCGACAGCATTTCTGTTGAGTCCAATTCGCCTAAGACATACTGAGATTCTCGTAAATTGCCTTCCTTCCTAAGTAAAAGTTCCATAGTCAAATGAAAATTTGTCCGATAAAAAGAAGAGAAAGGTGAAAGTCTATGGGAAAATGACTGTCATAATGGGCGCATGACTCATGCTCCCCCACGTACAGACCTCTAAATGGCTAGACGCTTACCCATTGATGAAGTTGGAGACTTCCGGGTAGGTGTCATCGACGAGTTTCCTCATCGTCTTGGTATCGACCGTGTCCACTTTGCCGGTGGCGGTGAGTTTGAAGGCCGTTCCGAGGATGGGGGCGATGAAGAACAGGCCCATAACGATCACGCCCGCGATCACCAGTCCCGTCAGGGCCGGCTTCAGCAGCTCTCCGAACGGAAAGCCTGTATCGTTCAATGCTACGGTTATTCTCTATTGCAATGGTTAAAACTCAGTGAAATACGATTTTATCTCGTTGTCGGCCTTTGCGAATATAGCTTTATATTAATATAAATTTTTATATTATATATTTTGTAGGTTGGATGTCAAATTTAGGATTGCCTTCAAGATTCCGTGACTCATAATTCATGCTTCATCCAATATACTTCATGTTCTGCCGTCATATCTTATATTATTATTCAATAATTTTGCTTCGGATTTTATTGTCAGACAGGATATCGGGAGCAAACTTTTTCGTTGCATACCAAGTCGATTGGGGTCCTTGAGGTACTGAAGTGCCGAAGGTCCACTAGCAGGAGGGTAATCCTCGTTTGCAGTGTAGGCGTTGTTATAGGGGTTGTAGGCGTTGTTGTTGTAGACGTTCTGGTTGTTGTTATAGGACGCGTAAGGATCGTAGCCGTTTTTATACGAGTACGAATCCTGGGATTGACCGTCAGAGAAGAGGCCAAAGAAGTTCCTCTGCTCTCCATCCCCAGGGTTGACGGTGGGATCCGCCGCGGCATCCCCGGTCAAGGGCAGCTGCGCTTGAGTCGGGTTCGGACTTTGAACTTGAGGTTGAACGTGGCTTCCTTCCTCCTTGAAGATGATGGCCTTGCTCTCTCGCCCGCCTTCCACGGACCAGACCAGCGTCCAGCAGCATATCGCGCAGATTATCCTCAACATCCTGGCATAAAGATTGGTACGAGTCGTAAGAAAATAAGACAAAAAGGCAAAGCGGAATGAATTCAAACTTTGACGGAATGGAGGTATTATAAATAGAAATCAGCTTTATACGTCAACTTGGACCTTTGGGGGACAAAAGGTATTTTGTCTAGTTCTCTCGGTTCTCACAGACTTCAAAAACTGAAATTCGGGCAAAGCTGCAAGTTTTTACATTTCACCACAGACCTAAATTTTCCACAGAAATCCTAATTGCTCACCTGCTTTGTTCACGCGGTTGGGAATAAGTGGTGTTTGTTCCGTCTTCAGTTCGTAAAAATTCTCATTCCCGTTTTGATTCTAGTGTTAATTTTTTTTTACTTTCAAACTTGTTGCTGATTTCTGTCTCTTGTTTTTCATATTGAAAATTATTACTTGCTCTTGGTATTATTGTCCTCTTCCAGGAAATCATGGGATAATTAAGCAGCGAAAGCGAAAAGGGTTGGTGAAAGAAGCGCTAAATGAAAGGTTCCCTCGTTCAGCCACGATAAGAAGCAACTCGAGAAAAGCAACCAGACCAAACTCATTCTCATGACAAGAGGAAGTGGAAGGCGAAGGGCAGGACGAACGGGAAGAGATGACAATTGTCGAAGAAATTATCTTCAGTCGGGTGAGTCTGCCTATTGCAGATAATTTCTCTGACAGTCGCAATGGTTCGTACTTTTCTTTTTGAGTATTTTCATTTTCTCACAGTGAATATCTATAGTTTTTATTTTTCTTTCCAGAGACACTTCACAGTTGTGTCTTTCCATTCCTTATTTGGTAAACTCTTTAGGCATGTGATCCCCAGGGGAGAAGCCATACCGCATTAATCAGCCGCAATATCTGAAGTAAGAACATCAAGCAACCGGCCATTTAAAAGCTAAGAGCAATACTTTTAACTCAGATGTTACTTGGATTAAAGCCAGAAAGATGGTTTTCATTGAATGATCGCGAAACGAAAAATCTATTTTCATCGATATTGCAAGGTGAGCAAATTCTCATTGCTCAAAAAAAATCAATGCATATAATATCCACAGCACATGTGCAAAAAATTATATACTAATTCTGATCTAAAATAAAGAAAATTGTTGCCCGTAGTGCTGGAACAGATAATAACCGGGCAGTTTTTTTTTAATCTTAAAAATCATCCTGTACACGAGGGAAGCGCATAAGGAGCGCCATTTTTTTAATATATGAAAAGGTAGCTACTTAAATGAAAAGTTGCCTATACTTCCTTCAGATTTGACGAGAGTGATTTGATTCTTTTCAAATTTGCTCATGAGCGATAAGGGGAGTTTGGGACTTTGAAAGAGTGATTAAAATTATTCCTGCTGGTTTTGTCTCTACTCGGTAATATTTTGATTTAGTCTTAAGGAGGAAAATGGCTGGCATTGACATGAGTTGTCGGCATGACTATCCAATCGTCAATGAACAATGAACCAAACTAAGGAATTTCGCATTTTCTTGCATGTTTCCGCTATTAACTCCAGGGTTAAAAAAATACGGGTGGACGAGGTCAGAGTGGAGTATAGACTCACGTGAATGAGAGCTGCTAGATTATCCTTCCGGTTTGCTGACGGGTGACGAACCTCACTAGTACGATACCCACAGAAGGTAAACACTGCAGGTTCTCGAAGGAGCAAAAGACTCAGGGGACAGGGTGGCGCAGCTCTTATATACCCGTCGTCTTCACGAGAATCCTGTCCATTGTCCACCCGATTGACCATTGCCAAAGCAAGGGGGTGGGGGAGAGGGAGTTCCATGCTAGCACCACACATCTCTTGGGAAAGGGAGGAGAGAAAGTGGATGGCGGGGAATCCCTCCTGGCCTTACGTCATTTCAGGATCTCAAGCATCCACGAAGGAAAAAGAAAGAGAAAGCCCGCTGACTCTGTTGATCATCTTAAGCGCGAGCCCGTGCCGTGCCGGATTTCCGGATCCCCGGCTCCATCTTCATTACGCATTCCTTAGGGGAGGAGGGGGACTAGTCCAAGTCCCAGACTTGGTATACAATAATGTCATAATCCATATCGGCTCCAAATGATGGTCCCATAATATTTATTTTGCAACTTCAAAGGTTCTAGAAATACAGCTTTTCTAATGGAAAAGTGGCAAGAGATTTTTAAAATATTGGGTCTAAATAAGCCTACCAAGCACCCGCAGGGACAAATGCTACTATTGGGTGCCAAAAACAGATGCACCACCCCTGGCCAACAAAGATATGGCAGGCCACAGGATTACAGTTAGCTTATTCTGATATTCTGATTAGCCGGGCTTCTATTGCATGATATTACTGCGACATGGCTTGTTCTAAACTGAATGATTAAAAAGAGGTGGGGCACGTTGACAAAACGGATCGTGATGCCGTTAACCACCCCTGCATCAGGAACCTCTCGAAAAGTGACGGTTCAGAAGCGGTCAACTTGATATACTCTGTTGAATCGTTCAGCATAGAACAAGCCATCTTCTAAAATCAGTAAAATTTGCAGCATGAAAAGAACCGCAACTAAATGGACTATTAGAATGGGCTAAGTATTATTCTGTGGTCCACCACATCTCTGCTGGCCGGAGGGTGCGTCAATTATTGCCCTCTTGAAGTGCATTTGGATTTTTGCATTATGCCAGCAGTGATTGCAACAAATTCATTTGACAACTAGAGCTGAAATTACGTTTGCATTAACTTCCGTCAGTCCCCGGGTGCCCCCCCCCCCCAAAAAAAAAAAAAAATCCCCCCCATTTGCATTCCTGCAGACAAAATGCTATTCAAAATATCAACAGAGTCAAAATATCAACAGGGAATTAACAGGATGTAACATCGAACGCGTTTAGGGGACTTCTTGAAAATTCTAATGAATTTGATCCTTAAGAACTGGTGTAATGGCTTTTTTCCCGCGCGATGTCAAAATAGCGAATGCGTGGTGTGCAAACTTACTTGAAGCTTGACCAATGCAAAACGAAATTTGTTTTATCTCAGTCCAACTGAGCAGTCGGCCGCAGACCACACACGCCTTTGACTGTGCGGGATAACGCTGGTTCTCGGAAGCTAAATGACCAATTTAATTTAAATTTTCGGAAAACTACCAACTACCGTTCTACACTGTTGGATGTGACACATGGTGGTTCGAAGAAGTTCCCAATCCTTTCTGTCGAAGCACCATGTGATAAATCGCAGGAAATTCACAGCTTGTCACGTCTAACTTGTATACGTTTATTCGGAAATTTTCAATGAAATTTATCTTTCCAACCCGCGTAACAGCTTTTTTATCTGCATGTCAAACGAGCGAGTATCTGTGCCATTTGGACGTTCAGTCTGACATGGTAAGAGCAAATCCCATCTTTCGCAAATCAAGCATTCAGGGTTCACAAATTGCACACTTGCAATTTGGCATAGATGTAAAAAGCGGTTACTAGGATTTTCAAGGGTCAAGTTCATTGAAGTTTTTGTGAAATCACTTACGCATGTTGCACTTGACATTGTGTTAATATCCTGCATATACCTCGTATAATATTTTGTCTGCGGGCGTGAATAGTTGGGAACTTTTTTGACTTCTCGGTTTATGCACAGATTTATTTCAATCGCTTTCTCCAAATTATTATTTTTTTGCAGCGAGGGGCCTTCCTTTCTCTAACGCAACCGTGCATTTCCATCAACTAATATAATCTTGGTTTAATATTTGATGGATGAAGGCCATAATATAAATCTGACGTATTGATATGCTGGAAATCTTAGGCTTTCAATTTGGTAATATACAGGGTGGCCGAAAAGTCACCGTACCCCTATTTACCTTCTCATATATTTTTATACAGTTCGCGAATAGAGATCTAAAAAATACCCGTGCCTATTTCCCATGCCCGCTCAACGCAGCGGCGAAAAAAGGAGCATGCGCTACCGGCTGGACGACTTTTGCGAAAACTCAGCAGAAATCAGTTTTGGCGGTTAACCATGGCGGACACCCAGCGCCGGCCCTAGCTATTTAGGATTATTTCGTTATTTATTTAGCGAAGAGACTCCCGAAGTGACACTGCTCTCACAATTCGAGAGTTTTTGGCTAAAAAAAAAAATTCCTGTGTTGTCCCACCCATTTTCTTCACCGGACCTGGCTCCGTGTGAACTTTTTCCTGTTCCCCAAGATTAAATTTCACCTGAAAGGAAAATGATTTGAAGACATTGCACAAGCATCAAGGAAAATGCGACGAGGCAGCTTAAGAGCCTTTCACTCCAGGACTTCCAGCACTGCTTCCAGAAGTTGCAGGAGCGTTGGGATAAATGCATAGCATCGAGGGGGGAATACTTTGAAGGGGACTACTAATAATTTTAATGTACTTATTAAAAATAAAGTTTACGGATAAAAGTACTGGACTTTTGATCAGACCTCGTATATATGAAAAGGTAGATAGGGGTACGGTGACTTCTCGGCCACCCTGTATTAGTTTTTGTGACTTCTGGAATTTTCGCCAGCAAAAATTTTCCTTTATAATGAAGCTCCACGGGAGCTGGCAAACTGAGTAGTCCAACTTATAGATTGACAATGAGTTCCATAAAAAAAAATATGGATCCTTTGGGTGAATATGAATGCTTTTGCAGCATCATCGTGGTATTAACTCAAAGCACCCCTTTGATTGCTTCCCTTTAACCGCACAAAAAAAGAAAAGACACGTTATGTAAATGTACGCCATAAAAAAGGATGAGTAGTCAGTAATTGAAAGTGACGAAATTTTCAGAGGATAAGACAAAAGAGGTTGTAAAGAGTATATACAGCAAGAGAGCTGTCAAATTGGAAGTACTGTAACACCAAATGTCGCAGTGCAATGAATACGTTCACAACACGTTCTAGAAGTAGACATAAAAAAGGAGATATAAGGGCCATTCATCGTTGCTATCTCGAGGTCGCAAATGCTTTCGAGCGATTTACAGCCTCTCGGCGATCCACGTGTTAAAGCAGTCATTAAAGCGTGAATATGGGAGCAAGGATTTGGGACTTT